GCCAGTTTACTCTCCTTACGAACATGATTGAACTGATCCATTCATGATAAGTCGTCCTAGGTAATTCTCGAGAAACAATATTATTGCAGTGACTTGTCAAGCTGAGTATTGAATATAACTATCACGACTGATCCCACATCTCAACAATATCATAAACGTCACCCAGTAATTCTCTCTCTCTCTCTCTTGAGTGACTTTTGAGGCTTGTGTTGTCTTCTCATATGATGTTAATCTGTTATATGAGGTTTATGATGCAAATAAAGGATGATCAGTAAGTGAACAGACAGGTTATAATGACGTCGCCATTTTCAATGATGATAATTTTCTGTTTCTTTTTGCTCTGAGTCTATAGTGAACGCAAACTTGATTACATAAAATACGTATAGATGTACCGGAAGGAAATTTAAATTTAAATTTTTTCAACATCAACTAAAATTGAAGCTGGGAAGGAGCAAATATTTCGACCCTGACGACAAATTGGACACGAAATAATTTTATAGAAACAAAACAGTTTTCTTATTTTAGTTTAAAAGAAAGGTAGACATAGGGGCTATCGGTCTTCCTGTATGGCAGTTGGACAATCTTCTCACAAATGAATAAATAACTTGCGGCATCAGAAATGATTTTCTACAGAAGGATGCTGAGAATACCGAAGATGTGAGCAACGACGAAGTTTTACAGAAAAGGGTAACAAAAATGACATTTATACTTAACACCAGAAAGAAACAGTTGAAATTTCTAGGGCACATAAAGAGGAAAGGAGGCTTGGAAAAATTGACACTCACAAGATACATTGAAGGCTACATGGACAGGGGAAAACAGTGCATAACCTACGAGCTTGTGTAAATGGATGACAGAAAAGGGTTTAGGAGAGTTAGGAAAAGATAAAATTAACTAAGAGCTATAACGGACAGGAGGGTGTGGAGAACCATGAACCTGAAGAGTCATAGAACATCGAAGCAGGAGTGAAGGCGCATTTACCAACTGAACAGACATTGGCTGTCCAACCTTAAGTTTGATCATAAAAATCATGGCAATCGTAAAATAAACTCATTTTCAAATAGGATACATGGTACTTTATCCATTCAAACATAAAAAAGACGAAATCCAGAATTAATTTCAATAAATCTTAATTAGACATTTGCATGAATTTATATAGCATGCTGTGCCTAAACAGACTTCCTTGTTGAATACTTAAGTTGTGTTATTGGAGGACAAAACCTTTTGTCAAAAAGATTTTATGGCGTCTGCTCTCATTACAAAAGTCATGGTAGACATATTTGTGCGTTGCAAACTAGCATGTCTATGAAATACTTACTTTGATAGATGTAATCGACACACATTTAAGAACTAAAAGTCATGTATTCATTTCAATTCAGGCAGTGAAATCCTGTGAACTTTAAAAAGATTTGCATAGTGCAACCCAAGAAAGAAAGCAGTAGAAATGAAAAAGGCAAGGCCTCATTGTTAATTGTTTCTGCTTAGTTAGCCACAGGTCTGGACATGTGACCGGTCTGATATGCAATGAATGTGTGGTCAGTGGATTGAAATTAACCAACTCGAGTTCCAAAGTTCGATTAAAGTTGATATGAATATAAAATCTTAGTTTGCATAAATAATCTTTGCAACAAATTCAATGTCTTTTTGATATTGTTCCAAATTTGATTTTTTCACTATTTTGTAAAAAAAGTAATTTTTCAATACAGTCATTCCTCACTTAACGACTTCACTGTTTAACAAACCCCGGACATACGACGAGCTGTAAAAATCTCGTAAAATAAAAAATAAATCCAACCTGTTGGTATTTTACGTTGGTGTTGTTCATATTGTACGTTGTAAGAAAACATTTATTGTTATTGTTTTTCTCTTCAAAAAGAATCGGAATAAATAAAATAAATAAATCGATTGAAGAATACAAATTTATTATTTATGTTCAGACTAATGTCCACAATTTTGTGGTTTTCCTCAGATGTATACCGATCTGTGTAATCTACAGAGACTTCCGAAGTGAACACTTTATTTAATCTACAAGGTAGACTGTTCTCATTTCACTGCTCACACCTAGGGATATCGCCTAGTTCATATGCTATTTAGTACTGTTTTTAGTACTAATTCTTATGCTATTTAGTACTGTTTTTAGTACTAATTCTTATGCTATTTAGTACTGTTTTTAGTATTATTTTTTACGCTATTTAGTACTGTTTTAATACTAATTTTTATGCTATTTAGTACTGTTTTTAGTACTAATTCTTATGTTATTTACTACTGTTTTAGTACTAATTCTTATGCTATTTAGTACTGTTTTTAGTACTAATTCATATGCTATTTAGTACTGTTTTTAGTACTAATTCTTATGCTATTTAGTACTGTTTTAGTACTAATTTTTACGCTATTTAGTACTGTTTTTAGTACTAATTCTTATGCTATTTAGTACTGTTTTTAGTACTAATTCTTATGCTATTTAGTAATGTTTTAGTACTAATTCATATGCTATTTAGTACTGTTTTAGTACTAAGTCATATGCTATTTAGTACTGTTTTTAGTACTAATTCTTATGCTATTTAGTACTGCTTTAGTACTAATTCTGATGTTATTTAGGACAATTTCCTGGGGTAAACTTAGAGCTCTATGTTTACCCCAGGAAACGGAACCATGGCTTAATAGGTTAAGGCGTTGGTTTGTGAATTTGGCATTATAGTGGTTGTGAGTTCGATCTCTCTATCGGGCAGTGTGTACTTGCACCCAGTGGCAACGGGCGAGCAATAACTGAACAGTACTAAATACAAGTCAAATCTAGGCGAGATATCCATAAATATGAGCCGTGGAACAAGAACAGTCTATCCTCGTTGATTAAATAAAGGGTTCAGTTCGGAATTCCCTGTAGTTTATACAGATCGGCCTAAACGTTGTGATAGAAAAACAACAAAGATGAGGACAATGTTCCGAATATAAATAGTGTAAATAATGAAGATTTCTCCTCAAAGAAATTTAGATAAAAATTTACTTTTTAATTTTAATTTTACTTTCTGAAGCAATGTACAGAATATAGAGCTGATTTTCAAATATTCTTGATGACGTTTTCTGACCACGTGACCCGGTTACAAATCTCACAATGGTCAATTTGTCAGGAAGGAGATTTCCTGATGTTATCGGACTGGAGGGATTGACCCCAGCTTTGGAAAGTGTCTGAAAACCATACCACAGGTTGACCCAAGCCGTGTTAATGAAATTGGGCAAATGGAACCCTTGAGGGCTGCCGATAGCTGTGCTAGCACGATGTTACAAGTCATCGTGACCGAGGCCTTGAGCATGATGGCCTTGTTAATATTGTCGATTGCGTTAGATAACACGCTCTTTCCCAGAAACTGTAACTAAGATCTGCTCAGCATAGTTTCAGTATAAACCACAAGTGGGCTCTGGGGGTGTTGAACAAACACAAATGTGCCTGAGCAAGCGTCTTCAATAGGGATTGGCTAGACGTCCTAGTAGCTGGGTATCCTTGAATACGAGTGGCCAGCTATACACTGCTGCATTGTATAAACATCTAGAAATAAATTGGAAATGTTACAAGTGATGCAAAAGCGACATTAAAACTACTTGAAGCAGGTTGACACAAACCCATTACATAAGTAGCATGCCTAAAATAGCAATCAGATATAAGTTCGTACTTAGTGACCATCTCATTTAGCGACCAGATTGTTGGGATGGAATTCAGTCGTTAAGTGAGAAATAGTTGCATTATAAACGTTAAACATTAAAAATAGACATTCATTGTTCAGAGACGTTGTAAACGCATTTTACATTAATTTTTTGTTTGATCTTTTTTTATTTGATGTTGGACATTTTGTGAAGTAAATTATATATCTAATACAGTCCCCTAAAATCATCCCGTATTTATTTATGTGCAGAATAGTGTTCTTATATATAACACGACATCGTATTTTTATACGTCAAACGTTTGAGTATTTTTATTTACTATTTATGTGTTTCTATTGGCCTTCAACGGACATGGAAGTTCCTCACGAAAAATTCGTTCACAAGGCCAAGCCATCAGCAACAATAAAAAAAGAACAGCGAGAGAAACAGACGCCACATTGGTAGGAAGTTGAATAAAGTCAGATAGGTCGTGTATCTTGGCAAGGCATAAAGCAGAATTTTAAAAAATATATATAAAGTACTCTTGTATCTTCGGCTTTTCCCCTAATTTATGATTACAATGGAAAATATCTTGTATTTCATTTCTTCTCATATGATCGCATATATAAAAAATTATCATTTAACCAAAAGAATTCCCTTTAAAGGACGAAATGCGTCACAGAATTTTTTCCATTTTGTCGTTATATTTCCACTCATTCATTGATCTAGCTTGTTAACCATTACACCACGTCGAAGTGTCTCAAAGGTGGTTTCCTAAGTACATCTTAGATGTAGAACAAGGCCGAAAGTGTGAAGCGCCCTCTACTCAGTCATAATTCATCTAGCGAGAGAAGCTTGTTAACCATTACACCACGTCGTAGTGACCTATGGTTGGGGCCCTTGGTCTCTAAAACGGTTCTTTCACCAGGCCTTTATGGTGAAATGGGGGGCTAGATACACACCAGGGTTTAAAACAAGACCTGTTAAAAGGAGGGTATAGGGTCAATGGTCATCTCCCACAAAAGAGTACGCCAGTCTCCATAGTTATATATACAGAAAGTGCAGTGATGACACAAAATTTTTTCGAAAAGATGATTCCCCTATAGCTACAATTTAATCTCTTTAAGTCTAGGATTAACTTTTATCTATTTTTCATATCCTCATGATCACTCAGTTATGTGCCATGCGTGATAGGCGATCATGTATCTTTCGATACATGACTGACGAGGCAGATTTTTTTCCCGCAGTAGGTTGCCATTTTTTTCTGTGGTAGGCCAGCTGCCATCCAAGGCTATAGAAACCGGTCTGTCCTGCAATTTACTGGCGGGGGTAGTAGAAGAGGATTAATACCTTTCCCAAGGGTATTAGCACGTAAATGAATGCAATGGATATGACTGGAATTCGAACTCGGCTCTCCGATTCTTCAATCCGAACCGAAAGATGGAGACAAAAAGTGAAAGAGAAATAAGGAGACAGAAAAGTGGGGATAAAAAGAGTGACGGGAAGAGGGAGACTAAAAGAGAGGCAGAAAGAAGAGGATAAAAAGAGAAACAGAAAGAGTGAGACAAAAAATACACAGAAGGAGTCAGATAAAAAGAGAGACAGAAAGAGGGAAACAAAAAGAAAGACAGAAAGAGGGGGATAAAAATAGAGACAGAAAGAGAGACAAAAAGGGGGACACTAAAAGAGAGACATAAAGAGAGAGGCAGAAAGATGGAGACTGAAAGAGAGAGACTGAAAGGGAGGCAGAAAAGAGACAGAAACAGGGAGAGTAAACGAGAGACAGGTTAGAGGGAGACTAAAAGACAGACAGAAAGAGGGAGAGAAAAAGAGAGACACAAAGAGAGAGACTAAAAGATAAATAGAAAGAGAACAAGAAAAAATTGATACAGGGAAAACAAAAAGTAAGAGAAAGAAAAAGAGAGAAAAGAGTGAGAATGAGAGAGGAAGAGAAGCAAAAAGAGAAAAAGACAGAGTGGCCAAAAGAGAGACAGAAACTCAAATCGATGCAGAAAGATAGAAAGTGAGAGAGATAAAAAGAAAAGAGACATAAAGAGGCAGAAAATCAGAGAGACAGACTGATACAAAAAGAGAAATTGGAAGAAACAGAAAAAGAAAGAAAAAGAAAGATTGAAAGTGGGAGAATGAAAAATACAGAAAGTATACATAACTAAAGGAAAGAGCAAAAGTGGGAAACAAAAAGAGCAATATATAGAGAGATAGAGAGTGAGAGTGGGGAGGGAAATGAATAAAGAAGAAGACAGAAAGTGAGAGAGAGTAAAAGAAAGATAGGAAAAGTGAGACAGAAAGAAAGAAAACAAAAATGAGATAGAACGAGAGAGAAAGAAAACAGTAAATAATAAAGTGAAAAAGAGACAGGGCATGATGGGTAAATTGTCGCCATTTTATTTTTTAATTTCGTTTTTAATTTCATGCGCGTTGTTTGTTTTTGATTTTGTCGACTCCACAGGATAATAGGGTCAGCTGGGCATCGTCTGTGAGAAAAAGAAAACCATGACGCAATTCACTCCGCCAGAAATTTGAAAACGGCATGCTTGGCATTCGCGCCGGAACTTCCAATACGAACATTTCAGAGTGTTTGGGTGTCAATTTGAGGACATTGCAGATGATTCAGAAAGAGTTGGAGGTGTGATTACGAATGTACGGCAGCTCACTCTGATCGTTCTGATAAAAAAAGAACTCCTAAATCTGTTGATGAGGAACTCACTCAATACGGAGGCCTACATCTAGTGCCTTGAGGAGGTAATGCTGCCTTGTTTCAAGAGGGTGGTTGCTGGAAGACTCTATATCTGGAAACAGGATTCTGCTTCATGCCACACAAGAAGGAGAACCCAGTCATGACTGTCAGACAATTTCTGCAACCACATCACCCCTTACATCTGGCCACCTAACTCCCCAGATTGAAACCCCCTTGATTATTATGAGTGGGGCATAATTGAGTGAGAGACCAACCAAACTTGTTACACCAAAGATGAACTGAAGGCAAAGATTATGGCAGCATTCACCAACTTAAACAAGGAGACCCTCCAGAAGAGATGCAGGAGATTTCGAAATCATCTGGAGGCCGTGGTTGAAGCCAATGGCGATTTTATTGAATAAATTTACACTTTCAAGATAATTTCGTGTGATTTTGCTAAATATATCTGTCAAATGAGATGCCAGCATTATTTTCATTTTTCCGTCATTTATACGAAAATTTATCCATCGCACCCTGTCACGAGGCTGAAAGGGAAGAACAAAAGGAAAAACTAGATAAGAGTGGGAGACAAATATTCCTACAGAAAAAGACAGAAAGTGAGAGAGACAAAAACAGAGGCACAAATGGAATGACAGGAAGAGAGGAACGAAAAGAGATTTATAAAGAGAGAGAGAAAGAAAGATTGAAAGGGAGAGATAAAAGGAGAGAAAGATAGAGAGACATAATTGAATACACAAAATACATAAAGTGAGAGAAAAAAGAGAGACATTAAGTGTAAGATGAAGAGAGAGAGAGAGAGAGAGAGATTCATACAAAGAAAAGACAGAAAGTAAGAGAGGGAGAAAAAAGAGATATAAAGAGACAAAGAGAAAAGTGGGAGAGATAAAATGACAGACCCAAAGACTGACACAAAAAGAGATCAAAAGAGAGAGATAAAGGGCCACAGAATTAGAAACAAAGAAGAGAGAGAGAAAGAAAGAAAGAAAGAGAGAGAGAGAAAGAAAGAAAGAGAGAGAGAGAGAAAGAAAGAAAATCATAGAGAGAAAGGCAGAAAGTGACACAGAGAAAAAAAAGAGACAGTAAAAAAATCTCTCTTACACTATTTACATTATTCGGACTATTGTCCTCGTCTTTGTTGCCAAATTTATCACAACGTTTCGGCCGTTGTACGCTCCAGCCCTTTTCAGGTGTTTGGAATGTCGAACTGAAATCTTACATATTTATATGCCTGCCATTCACCCTTGTTTTGAATATTTTTGTCACATCTGGTCTGGTGCTTCTGCTGTGTATTTAAAGATTCTTGATAAAATCCAAAGAAGAATTTGCAATATTATTGGTCTTGACCAGACATCTCAGCTTCAGTCCATTTCCCACCACAATAATGTAGCTTCCCTGTGCCTTTTCTATAAATACTTTCATGGTAATTGTTCTGATGAACTTTCCTCTAGACTTTATGAATTCAAGCGCAGTACTAGTTTGGCAGCAAGGTCTCATCGTTTCACAGTTGAAATGGCTAGATACAACCGTAAGTTCTATACTGACAGTTTCTTCTATCACACTTCTCTTGAGGCTTGTTGCTTCTCGGTCAACCTTGATCTTTAAAAATGTAAATGCAATGTCAATCGTTATCTTTTGTCTTCTTAATTCTTATCCTTTTATTGTACTCTATCTTTTTCGTATGCGTCGATGCCGACAGATACGAAAAGTAAACGAACAAAAAGAAACTACGGAAACACAAAAATTTAACAAGAAAATTAGGAAACTTATTTAAAATTGAAAACAAATCGTGGTTTTGACTCGTAAATTATCACCCTAAAACACCCAAACGGTCTCCCTAAAGCCCACGAAACTGGTATCCGAATTCGTCCAATTATCTCAGGAATAGACAGCGCCCCCCGCTAAACTAGCGAAAGCCATAGCAAAAATTCTAACCCCTCTCCTTGAAACAATCAGTTCATTTCATATAAAGAACTCAGTCAGCCTAGTTGAAAAACTAAGGGAAATGAACATGATTGGCAAACACATGGCCAGCCTAGATATAAAATTACTCTATACCAACGTCCCAGTTAAAAAATGCCTAAACCCCCTAAAAAAGCATCTAGCACAATCAAAGATAAAACTCTCTCTACCAACAGCTAAAATAATAAAAATCTGCCGTCTCATCGCCAATCAATGCTACTTCATATTTAATAATGAATGTTACAAATAAAAATTTGGATTGCCAATGGGATCACCTCTCAGTGGAGTGATGGCATGCATCTTCCTAGAAATTCTCGAATCTGGTCCTTTCCAAAATATCTTCGTGCCTTAGTCGCTTTATTGTCTTGCTTGGAGTGAAATGATTAAAAAAACAACAAAGAAAAAAAAAGAGAGAAATAAAATAGGGAGATAGAACAAGACAGAAAAAGATCCAAACGTACAGTGCCATGGATTTATGTTTAAGACTAAAGACAGTCATTATTTCTTTTTATTTGTAGTGTTGAAGTAAAGCTTTTCCTCAATAATGTTTCATACAATGAATAACCACCCAAATATTCTTGAATGCCCGGAGTGTTTGCTGTAGAACTGTAAAAAAGATTGTTTCAAGCATTTAGCCGACATCAAACACAAATATTTCCCAGTCATTGTTGTTTTATCCGACAAACAGACGGATGTAGACAAACTTCAAATATGTTGTGTTGGTGTGTGCTTGTCTGAACATGAAAATCTCTCAGCTGCTCTATTTAATACTGAATTTGTCACCAATCTTTCACACCTTTACTCAAGAGAAATTAGGTGCCTACACCAGGTATATATCACGGATTTTATAAGTATGTTATATGAGCAATTCACACACACACACAAACATATATTTTAATATATATATATATATATATATATATATATATTAAAATAATAAGAAAGAACAGTAAGACTTATAATCCGGTGTTCTTAGCTATTATTTTTATTAAAAAAAAAAACAGTGCTCGATACAAACAGTAGAGCATAATATAAGAATTTTCATTTTAAAAAAATATGATTCCATCGTGACACAGAAATTTCTATGTTTCAAAACTGAAACTAAAATTGTAAATCTAATTATAAAAATTAAACTTAAAATCCAGAGTTTCGTTCCATTGTCAAGCGATATTAGGAATAACTTTCTAAGAAATTTACTTAATTTATAAGCGCAGACAATATTAATATTTTGAGTTGTTTGTTAAGGTTAAGGAAAATTCAGTCTATTTTGTTTAGGAGTCGTTGGTTTTAATTTCCCTAGACAACTTATATATCAAATATATGTTACTTACAAAGTCAGGTTAAGTTTAGTTGGTGTGGAGGTGCCTACTCACTAATATAGACATCCGTTATTCACCGAGTCGTCTATTTTTTCAATGACAAAAAAATTTTAGCATTTTTATTTATCGACTTAATTCATATTTTTATACACAAAGATTTTCTAAAAGGGTCATTTAAATATGAGTAAGTCATATTTTTAATATTTAATTTCTACAGGTTTAAAGTACCATTTCTCCTTCTAATAACTAATAGACTACACGGCATTTTTACAAATAAATATATTAGAATATAATTACTAATTAAGGATCAAGTATAAATATGTATGTTTCATCTCTCGCTCATAAATTAAGTAAATTTCTTAGGGAGTTATTCCTAACATCGCTTGACAATGGAACGAAACACTGGATTTTAAGTTTAATTTTTATAATTAAATTTACAACTTTAGTTTCAGTTTTGAAACAGAAATTTCAGTGTCACGATGGAATTATATTTTTAAAAATTAAAATAATTATGATATATATATATATATATATATATATATATATATATATATATATATATATATATATATCCAAGTAAGATGAGAATGAATAGAGTACAACTCCAACATTCATAACATTTAATCTAAAAGAGGGCTCAGTACAAAGTAGGACAATATACTTTATTTTAGGATATTACTCGCCAGTAATTTACAATCGCCTGATGAGCTGCGTTGTATACGCATCGAAACACGAGTGCAATTGTGTAGTGATTTTGACATGTTTTCGATGAAAAAATAAAGTATATATATATATATATATATATATATATATATATATATATATCGAGGACGAATATTTTCTGTGAAAATTTCTCGACATTCAGGCCGGTAAATGTTGTTTAATATTGTTTATTATAAACAGAGCATTGACTTAAATATTTGCATCTATAAAAAGAATGTATAAACATATAAATGTCTTAATATATATATATATATATATATATATATATATATATATATATATATATATATATGAGTGGGCACTGAGGTCAACACCGTGAGGTCTGTTTTGAGCCTGAACGCAATCTTCAGGCCTTGTTGTGGAGTAAATAATACACCTCCGGTGACTATATGAATTAGACCATAACTTTGAATAAAGAGATCCGGGTCAGAGGTAAGAAAAGGAGAAGGCGTTTCAGCCCAGTCAGTTCGCTGCCTGGCTTGCGACAGGCTTGTCGAACCCTACGTCTTCGGGAAGAGAGGAACCCAGACGAGGCTATACCTACGGGAAGAGTATCGTCCGAGGAGATAGACAAACCCGACCCGGTACATACGTGGCAATTTGGAGCTCGGAATCGCCGCACGTAAAAACTGGCCCTATTCCATATCCTTCCTTATGTGGAGGTTTGGTAAATACCAGCCTTTTGGAGTCAGTCTTCAGACTAATTAATACAGGCGTCACAACAAGTAGCCGAGCCATTACTTATAAGCGCTTCGTTGTAACAGTGGCGATGAGGGATTCGAATCTCAGGCGATTTATAACCGTTTTGACGAGGATTCAGAACTCTTACGACTTATAACAATAACGAGGATTCAGGAACTCATACAAGTTGTAACTGGAGTTACAAGTATTTTGGAAACCCATACTGTGTGAACAATTACGGAAAATATACTTGTTGTTTTTGGAACAAGGATACGGGTGGCGACAAGAATTTTAGCCACATTGGTTTCAATTTTTTTTTTTTTTTTGTTGTGTAAAAGAAAAAAAATCTCTTGGGTGTAGGAACAAAATATTCTTGCGAATATGGAGCAAATTTTGGTTTCGATAGTTGAAATTCAACAACAACAACAGAAACAGTAACAATAGCAAAATCAACATTTGCTAGAACTACAAAAACAGCAACAGGATTTATTGGATATAACTCGGAAGAAAACAAACAATTCTTCAACGTCTATAAGCCAGACGCTGTCCAAAACACCACATCAGAATTTGTATACAATCCTGATGAGTGACTGACTTTTTTTGCTTATTTTCGTATATATGAACAGATATTCACCAAGGAAGGCAGCGGCTGGGAAGATGAGAGAAAAACAAGATTGTTGTCGAGGAAAATAGCTGTGATAGAGTAGGAAAATATTGTAATTACATATGACTGAAGAAATCAGGTGTACACATTCTGACGAAAATGAAATGCCTTAGTCAAATTATTGATAAAAATGGTCATGAACCAGATCATTCGAGGGCTAATACAATTAAAAGTATCTCTCCACCATCAAACGTGACTACGTTACAATCTTTTCTAGGACTGGCTAATTATTAACAAATATATGTACATAATATGCATAATTTGAGAACTCCAATGTACGAACTACTTAAAAAGCAATAAAGTGGAACGGAAATGATAACTGTCAAAAGGCGTTTGATGAAATAATAAAAAAAAGACTTACGTCAGATTTATCATTAGCGCATTACGATCCAAAAGTAGAAATTGTAGTGGCGTCAGATGCTAGTGAGTACGGTATAGGAGTGGTGATTTTACACAAATACGAGCGTGGTAAAATGAAAGCCTTTGCTCATGCTTCACGCTCGCTTCTGCCAGCAGAGAAAAATGACAGCCAGATAGAAAAAGAGGCTCTAACAATTATATTTGGTGTGAAGAAATTTCATAAATTTATTCATTGAAGAAATTTTAGGTTACAAACAGACAACAAACCTCTATTAACAATATCTGGTTCAAAAGAAGGAATAACTGTGCATAGACTGTAAAGCTGAGGCACCATTTTATTAAACTCTGATTTTATGATGAATTATCATCCGTCTAAATAATTAGGATATGCGGATGGATTATCAAGATTAATATTTAAAAATGC